CAAAAAAAAAAAAAAAAAAAAGAGTCATATAAAACCTCCCTTCTGAAGTTGATGGTTTACAAGCCTGCAGTTTCTGGAAACCATTTGTTCTTTAAAAAATCTGATTTTGTTGAGTACAACCTTGTAAGATTCCAAAGGAAATATGTAATCACTCAATACGACCCACCTCCCTTACCGCAACAAGGGTATAAGACCCCATGTCTCCTGTTCTGGGGCACTGGGTTTGGACGCATTAGTTCCATTGAGCCCGCTGTACTAGCCAGTGTAATAAAGTGCCACTTCCTATAATAGTCTCCGTGTCACGATCTCTCTATTTATCCTGCTACAGTGCCACTGCCCTCCAGCCTGGGTGACAGAGTAAGACTCCAACTCAAAAAAAAAGAAATTAATCCAGAAGATAAAAAAATAGAGATAATGACTAATAATAAGGAGGATGCCAAAAATACATATATGCATTTTAGCTCATTCTGACTGCTCATGTGAATTTACATCATTCCAAATTCTGTTCCTGGTTGCCACTGACATGAAATTTATCTCATCGTGGAAGACTGCCTTTTCAGGTTTATAATACGAATAAAAATACAAGCCAGGTTCGGTAGCTCAGTCTGTAATCCTGCGCTTTGGGAGGCTGAAGTGAGTAGAATGCCTGAGGCCGCGGGTTCGAGACCCGCCTGGGCAACTTGGCGAGACCTCATCTCTACACTAAATTTAAAAAATCAGCCGGGCATGGTAACGCACCCCTATAGTTCCAGCTACTTGGAAGGCGGAGGCGGAAGGATCGCCGGAGCCCAGCAGGTCAAGGCTGCGGTGGCCAGAAGCGGCCACTGCACTCCAGTCTGGGCGACGAAGTGAGACTCCAACTCAAAAAAACAAAACAAAACAAAAAACATTAAATTGTCCAGCTTGAACTTAAAATCGCCAAAATGAAAACACTGTTCCTCAACTTGCTTCTCCTTTTGAGAGGAGAAAACCATGCTGTGCTGCTTATGTATCCTTCCAGAAAGAACTTGATGCATACAAAGATATACATCAATGTAAAACTGAAAAAAAAAAAGTCAGCCGGGCTTAGTGGCTCAGCCTGTAATCCTGCGCCTTTGGGAGGCTGTGGTGAGTGGATTGCCCGAGACTGCGGGTTCGAGATCAGCCTGGGCAACTTGGTGAGATCTCATCTCTACAATAAATAAAAAATTAGCCGGGCATGGTAGCGTACACCTGTAGATCCAGCTACTTGGAGGCTGAGGCGGAAGGATCACCGGAGCCCAGCGGGTCGAGGTTGCCGTGTCCAGGAGCGGCCACTGCACTCCAGTCTGGGCGACAGAGTGAGACTCCAACTCCAAAAAAAGAAAGAAAAAAAAAAGTCTTAAAGGGACCATGGATAGCCACTCTAAAACTTTATGAGCGTTTTCTGCAACAGCCAAAACCACCCAAATGTCCATCAACAAGAGAATACACAAACTGCAGTACAATAACTGTAGTAGATGGACTATCACAAAGCAATAGATATGGAAGAAATGTTACAGACACAGACTCCAGACAGTGATTCTCTCAATTATAACATTAAGCAAAAGAAGCCAAACACAAAGGGTGCATTCTGTGCAATTAATTTCACAAACAGGAAGCACTAGCCCATGACGTTAAAATTAAGATAACGGCCTCCCACTTGTAAAGTACCTTCTTTTTTGCTGCTATTTGTTTTGTTTTGTTTGAGTTGGAGTCTCACTCTGTCGCTCAGACTGGAGTGCAGTGGCACGGCCACGGCAGCCTTGGCCTGCTGGGTGCTGGTGATCCTTCCGCCTCACCCTTCCAAGTAGCTGGAACTACAGGCGCGCGCTACCACTCCTGGCTAATTTTTTGATTTATTGTAGAAATAAGGTCTCGCCAAGTTGCCCAGGAGGGTCTCGAACCCGCCGACTCAAGCAATCCACTCACCTCGGCCTCCCAAAACACAGGATTACAGACTGAGCTACCGAGCCCGACCTGTAAAGTACTTTCAACAGTTTCCAGCCTCATCTTCTACCACAGCCTGCTCCCTCATGCCACTCAGGCATATGTACCTGTAACTCACACTTGTTAGACTCACTACTGCCCTGGGGCCTTTGTTCTTCCTGTTCCTCTGCCTGGAAGGCTTGCCCCTCAGATATCTGGTTGGTTAATGACCTCACCTCCTTCAAGTTTTAGCGTAACTTTCACTTTCTCAACAAAGCCTGTTCTGAGTACTTTAATACTACAACCTATACATCCCATGACCCCTACCCTTACTCTGTATTACTTGGCAACTTCTTTTTTTTTTTTTTTTGAGTTGGAGTCTCACTCTGTCGCCCAGATTGGAGTGCAGTGGCTGCTCCCAGCCACCGCAGCCTCCACCTGCTGGGCTCCGGCGATCCTTCCTCCTCAGCCTTCCGAGTAGCTGGAACTACAGGCGCACGCTACCATGCCCGCCTAATTTTTTATTTATTGTAGAGATGAGATCTCGCCAAGTTGCCCAGGTGGGTCTTGAACCCGCGGGCTCAGGCAATCCACTCACCTTAGACTCCCAAAGGCGCGGAATTACAGGCTGAGCCACTAAGCCCGGCTGGCAATTTCTAACACACTATATAGCTTACTTAATTTTACCGCCTGTTGTTTATCACTTTATGTACTAGAATGACAGCACCACAAAGGCAGAAAACTTTCATTGACTTTGTTCACTGATGTATCCCAAGTGTCCAGAACAGCAGCTGGAAGATAGTGAATGCCTAATAATTATATATTGCTAAAAGGATGAACACAGAATGCCCCCAGAGATGACCACGGATAGCCATACCTTGTCAATGTAGAAGTCAACCTCAGAAGCTGACTGAAATTCGCCATCTAGGGCGGAGATGCCACTGGTCCACACCAGGTTCTTCATCTTGTGTTTGAAAACAAGAAGCTGGATCCGGAACTCCTGCTCTGTGAGGTCCAGGAAGCCAGCCAGCTTGGCCACAGGCATGGTGGTGTAGAGCTTGAGAAAGCTGCGGATGGTTGAGAGCTGGGCTTGCTGCTGCACTTCATCAGAAAACACCTTCAGCTGCTGCAGAAAGGGCTCTTTGTGGTAGTTAGGGTGCACGTTGTCATAGTTGGGCACTACAGGTGACAGGAACTTGGGGCAGGAGTAGCTAAAAAGTTCCTCGTAGACTTGTGGGTCACCTTTCTGCATGCGCAGCATCTTATCGCCATATTTTTCCCGCAGCTGGAGGTGAATGCTCTCGTCGATACGCATGGGGTACATGGTGAGGGCAATGGCCAGTAGTGCATGCATCTGCTCATTCTGCTTGTTAATCTGGGGATGGGATGGAAAGTGGTGCTGGGTCAAATGAGATGGACTTCCCAAGGTCCCCCCGTCAGCGTGGCCCCATCATCCTCCCACGGGCACGTTGTACAGCTCTTCAACTCATCCCATTATCTCACATCAGTTGTGAAAACTTTCTCAACGTCTCTTTCAACTCTCCTTCTAGCTCTCCTGATCTCCATCCTAGTTCTGAGTCCTCCCTCCCTGGATTCCTCTGTCTTCATTTCTCTAGTCTACCCCAAACATTACTGGCAGTCAATCCTTTACACCAGTTAGGAACAAGCTACCCAGTCTTTTTTTTTTTTTTTGAGTTGGAGTCTCACTCTGTGGCCCAGACTGGAGT